AAGTTTGAGCTACTTAAATTGTTATATACTCCGTATAAAAATTAGAAATAATTATTAATTCTAATTTAATATATATTAAAATTAATTTTTTTTCTACTATTTTTTGTATCAATCAACTAAGTATAAGTGTAAAATGTTATATACGAATTATAGAGTATTGTAATTTAGGGCCTTTTTCATTAAATTTTCAGGATTGGCCATGCATTCTTTAAATAGAGACATATTTTATTGTTTAACTATGGAGTATATCTCATTATTCTCATAGTTCATGGCCTAATTTAATAGGGACACAACGGAATTGGGGGAAATTAAAGATGGCAAAGCCGGGAATAAACTAATTAATTAAGCCATAATTAACCTAATTTCTTGACAAATCCATGGGAAAAAACTACAGTAATTCCAAGAATTTTCATTTAAGTTGACTATGAGAATATGAAAGATTGACACTAGAGTTTTTTTTATTTGGGGTTAACTTTTTAATATTCTCTGAGTTTGTTTTTTTTGGATAGAGATAAAAATTAATTTGATGAAAAAAATTAAACAGACGTTTAATCCTATATTGGCCTCCCATGTCAAATTTTTACCAACAATATTTTTCAAAATATATCAATCAAATTTTATAAAGAAAATCTAAATAAAAGAAAATTTTTAACAAAACCATTGTGGTATGAAGTTATGCTCCTCATTTGACATATACTCTCTCCATCTTATAATGATTTACATTATTACTATTACGACCTCTTAAAAAACTTTATATAAATTTTTCTTAATTATTTAATAAAATAAAATATTCTTGTAACTATTAGTTTTGTAGAACTTTTAACGTAATTTTTTAATATGTAAATTATATTTTTTATTTTAATATGAATCGATAAATGATACTCTGTATAATTTTAAAATGTATGCAATTTTGCATGCAATTTTGTTACATACTCCCTCCGTCCCGAAAAACATGGGAGTTTTGGTTTTGGAGAAAGATTAAAGGGGAGTGTATATTGGTATTGAATTTCCAAAAATGTCCTTTGATGTGATGGATAAAAGTATGATTTGATGGATAAATTATTAGTAAAAAGGTATAATGTGATAGGTAGGGTATGAAAAAGTAAGGGGTAAAAGTGAATTTTTAATAGAAATGAGAAGTGTTTTTTGGGACGAATGAAAAAAGAAAAGAGAAAGATTTTTTTGGGATGGAGGGAGTATTTCAAAAAATAAATAAATTATTCCGTATTAGTTCAAACCAAACGAGCCTTGAAAAGTGACTAGATATTTCTCCCGTCACACTGGAAGAAAACATCGACACGATTCGTCACCGATAATTATCGTCTTGGGCAAGAAATCGAAGTCACACATACACCAATCATCAAATACAGCACGCGAAGAAGACGAAGTTGCAAATAAACTGGAATAAGCTTTCAATTTCATCCAGTTTTTCAATTTGGGGAGCGAGAGAATGTGGATATTTGGCAGAAAAGGACCGTCTGGATTCTCAGCGTCGTCCACTGCCGAGGAAGTTACTGAAGGAATCGACGGAACTGGCCTCACCGCCATTGTTACAGGTCCCCTGTCCTTCTTCTTCTTCTCCTCCTCCTCTTCATATGCTCCTTTTAGTGCTTGGTTTATTAATACCAGTAATATCTGAATAATCTGTATTAGATTTTGGAACAATGCTTTTTTAAAGGGATGAGTGGATTTATTCAGAGATTTTTGCACCTTTTTGATGTATTGAGTTCTGTTGAGTTGATTGTTTCCACTTGAAAGATTAAAATTAGAGGTTGTGTTTGTGAGAATGAAGTCTTACCCTGTAGATTAAGGCTCAGTTTGTTCAGGGGAAATTCAAAATTTTCCGTTTCATGAATTGTGCACTAGAAAATATGATCACTCTTTCNCCCCCCCCATGTTTTCTGCATTAAATATCGCTATCATGGCATCATGCTGGAAATAACCAATTTCCATGGAAACTGGAAACATAAACTTATTTCCCCACAACCGAATGGATCCTTGGTATGCAACAAATCTTATGCGGGAGATATTTGATTTTGCATTTAGTTTCAGTGTTTGGCTGTTTGCCATTTATGATTTAGATTGATCTTAGTCTAAGTGTGTGGCAAACATTCACAATTCACCCCACTGGATGCAAATCAGTTCTAATGTAAGATACAATTTTTTTAATATGAAGTATATAATCATCGAATTAGGATTACAATAGTTGGATAAAACTTTGGAGGCTTTATTTGTAATTTATGATGGTGTATTTTTAGTCTTAGTTTGTAACTTGTACATGTCTTCATGTGCTTTTTGTCCAATTGTCAATGTATGTATGAGTGTTTCTTGTGTCGCTTTGTTCATGGTACAATGTGTACTTTGTGTTTCTATGTTTGAGTTCTCTACGAAACAATCTCTCTACTCCCAAGTAGGGGTGAGGTCTGCATACACACACCCTCTTTTTTTGTGAGATTTTACTGGGTTCATTGTTGTTGTATATAATCATCAAACTAATTCTACAAAAGGTTTATTTTTTCAGGAGCCTCGAGCGGTATTGGTGCAGAAACCACCCGCATCCTTGCCATGCGTGGTGTACACGTAGTCATGGCAGTTCGCAATGTGGCAAGTGGTAAAGAAGTGCAACAGAATATAGCTAAAAAGATTCCTAATGCTAAAGTTGATGTTATGGAATTGGATCTTACCTCCATTGCATCTGTTAGGAAGTTTGCTTCAGAATATGAATCGTCTGGTCTACCCTTGAACCTCCTCATGTAAGATAATCATACAATATTTAACTTTTGAAAAAAAAGAGTATTGCGTACGCACACCCTTCTAGACCCTACTTCTTGTGGGACTTTTGCTGGGTTTGTTGTTGTTTTTGATTTCTATTAATCTGCTACCAACCCACATGTGGGATATGTGAGCACCTTGCATAGGAAAGAACACTCGCCATCCAACTTAAAAAAACTTTGATTAATTCTTGATTATGTTCGAAGAAAGAAATGTTAACACACTTTCTTTGTTGAAGTAATAATGCAGGGATTATGGCTCCGCCTTTCCTTCTCTCTCAGGACAAGATCGAATTGCAATTTGCAACTAATCATGTTGGTGAGTTTCATGAATGAGTATAAGGAACATGTTATGCTAATGTATGAGAATGATGATAAATGTTGTTTGCTTGTGCAGGACACTTCCTTTTGACAAATCTTTTACTGGAAAAGATGAAGCATACAGCCCTTGAAAGCCAGAAAGAAGGAAGGATTGTCATTGTTTCATCCGAGGCACATCGATATACATACAAGGAAGGAATTCGGTTTGATAAAATTAATGACAAGGAAAGGTAAATCATCACCTTACGTGAATATTTGCCAAGTGGATGCAGGATATAGCTAAATTTTCTAGTATCATTACACTATGTTCCGGAGAATTAGGAAGGAAAAGAAACGGTTATAGAAAGGAAAAGAAACCAAAAAAAATTATTTGGCAATATTACTCTTTTCTTTTCTTTTTCTCCCTTTTTTTAGTTCAATTTTCTTTTCTTTTCCTTTCTAATCAGACCCCCATTAAAATTCCCATATACCATTTATTTTCTTTTTCCTTCCGAATCCCTTGAACTAAACTGAGTGTTAGAGTCAGGGATTTTAATTCTATCAAGGTAATACCAAACATAATATTTTCCTCCATTTTCCCCTTTACAAATATCATTTCTCTGTTTTTTTCTTCAGTTACAGTCCTCTATATGCTTATGGACAATCAAAGCTTGCAAATGTATTGCACGCTAATGAACTTGCGAGGCGCCTGAAGGTAATATCATTGAACGGACAGTATTGAATTGCATCATAACTGATATACAGACACATTCCCCCTGTACAAAAAATAAACTTCAATGTTTGACCTCACTAAGTAAGAAAAATGTTAAAAAGCAAAATGTTTATGATTGAAATTGGTTGAGATGAGAGAGAAAACACGTGAACTACATGTTTTATTCCTTTATATAATTAGAAAAAAAAGTGCAAAGTTCAATGTGGTTACAGACGAGGTAAACAAATGTGAACGGGCGTATTTCTTTGAAATGGTATTACAGGAAGGGAGGTAGCTTATGTTTTTTTCTCTATGGACTTATATCTGTATATCTCTTGCATACAGGAAGAAGGGGTCTCAATAACGGCAAATTCACTTCATCCCGGAGCAATTGCCACCAACCTTTTGCGTTATCACAGTTTTATGGATGGTAAAGCTTTCACAATTCACATTGTCAAAGTTATTGATTGTGTTCCTTTATCATAACAACTACTCCTATTTGAATTCATTCAAGGTCGGTTCTATTAACTTTTTGACCTGAGTATGAGTTTAACTTATAAATTTGGGCTCCCTGTGTTTACTTTGTCTCTGTTTCTGTTAGGGGTCTCTTGGAAGTAGCCTCTCTACTCCTGAGTAGGGGTAAGGGCGTACACCCCCCCCCCCCTCACCAGACCCTATTTTTTCATGAGATTTTGCTGGGTTTGTTGTTGTTGTATCTTGACTTGGTAGTTTAAAGTGTGTTGGCTTCTTACAATATCAATTCTTGGTTTGTATCTTCTCCTAGGTGTTGTCAAGTGGATCGGTAAATACACGCTAAAAAATGTACCACAGGTACTTTCTTTCATTCCCTTGCTGGTTTCATTTTTAGATCAATGAATGGAATTTTAGTCTCAACCTTAAACCTTAAGCAACATGGGCATATGGTAAACAATACATGATATTTTTGGTCTGTATAGGGAGCGGCGACCACATGCTACGTAGCCTTACATCCACAGGTGAAGGGGCTGAGCGGCGAGTACTTCTCGGACAGCAATATCGCGAAACCGAGTTTGAATGCCAAGGATTCTGGTCTGGCCAAGAAACTCTGGGAGTTTAGTTTGAGCTTGGTAAGCTCCTAATGATCATCATAATAGCTGCTTCAAAAGATGGCAAGATAAAAGATGACACTTTTGGTCTTTCTGTGTGTGTGTATGTGTGTGTAATCACTTCAATGTCTATGGGGTTGTTTGTTTGCTACTTAATCTTTTGCTTTATTGCTACATAAAAATGAACAATTTCACTACATTGTATCACTGTACATTACATGAATGAGCTCATTACAATTTGTTGTTCACACAATTCTTCCAAACCTCGATGCCGGGTTGATCTCTCCTAGTGACGAACATTTTGTTCCCTCCGAAGGTCATATGCGTTATCCTCTGGTCACGAGAAGCGTCGTTCGCTCTCCCCAACCCGTTCTTCCGGAATATTCTGCCGCTAGCGGCGCCGCCCTTGTTTGTGCTTGTGTCGTTATTGTCTCCGGATCCGACGAAAACCTCGGACCACAACTCTATTTGCCCCCCTTTACTGCAAAACACTTGGTTCCCGTGGCTTTCGATCCTACACCCCGTCCCTTCTTTCTTCTTGTTCCCCGCCTTCCTCGCGTCACCGAGACACGTCCAAATGTTCTCGCCCGGGCGGGGCCCGCTGAGGGCTCGGAAATCGGCGAACGAGACCTCCCCGGAATGCATGCCGACTTTGAACATCCCGACACCGTCCAACGCGGTGACGTCGGAGAAGCAGTCGAGCTTCTCCTTGACCTCCCAGACGGCGGTCCCGGACCTCAAGTCCCAGAACTTGATGTCCCCCGACACGCTGGCGGGCCCACTGTGGGACCCGGACGCCATGAGCAAGTTATGGCCCGGGACCCACCTCAGCTTCGTGGCGGGGATCGCGGAGTCGAGCTCGGCCCCGAAGATCTCGTAGTGCCCGATCTCCGCCACGGGCCTGAAGCTGTCTTTGAGGTCATAAACCATAATGCAGCTCGAGTTCCGCCTCCCGGACTCGAAGCTAGTGAACATGTACTCGTCCGACGACCCGATCGCCAGAACGGTCGAATCGGACCGAGTCAAGTTCTCCCAGTTCAAAGTCTCCCTAACAAAACCCTCGTCCACATCCAGAATCTGAACGCCGGAAAAATCGGTGGCCCCGGCGGCTACGATCTTCGGGGACAGAGCCAACAGAGAATCTACGGCGGTGAATTGGGTCAAAACCGTTGACTTTCTCTGCAACGCCCAATCAAAGGAAGTGACTTTACTGCCATGGGCGACGTGGACGGAGCCGAACCGGGTGGCGGAGATCGACGCCGGCGAATCTCGGCCGTTGAGAGGCAAAACGATCGATTTCTCGAGATTGAAAGGGTCAAACTGGGAAGGGTCGGATTGGGAATTGATCAGCATCTGCTCGACGCCGTAGAAACGGGACTCGAAGATCAGATCTTGGAAATCGAAGGCCTTCGCTCTGGAAGGGAGGTTCCCGGATCGGAGGAGCGATAACAGAACGGAGAAAAGATCGGGGTCTCTGTCGATGAAGGGGATGGAGTGGTTCGACGAATTGGCCAGTTTGGAGAAGAGGGATTTCGAACCCGCCTGCGTTAGGGTCTGTTTGGTTGTCTGGAATAGCTGGCCTCCCACATCAATGGTGACGAGGCTGGAAACTGCTGAATCTTGGAAGCTTCTGCGGAAGCCATTGGAGAGAGGCATTGATCCAGCAAATGGAGGCATCTTATATTCTCTACTGCTCTCGAACAGAAAAGAAAAAGTGATTATAATGTGATGAAATCTGGGAATTGAAGAAGAAGAAGAAGATGGGTGGGGAATCTGGGGTTGAAAGAGTGGATTAAATAGAGGAGGGAGGAAGAAATTGGTTGGGTTTCTGGATGGTCAACGAGGGGAGGAAGGAAGAAAATTGCAGAGTTTGAATAATAAAAAAAGGTGAGGGGTGGCGTTCAATCATGGCCTACTATCTACTTGTCTCGAAAGAATGTGGACTGGACCTTTATATGACTGAGATATCATAATAATATGAAACACGTGCTTAATACTCCATCTGTCCTTAAATATTCACAACATTTGTTTTTTCAGCAGTATTGGAACTTTTATTTATTTGTTTTCATTGATTATTTGATAAAATAAAATATTCCTGACACCTCTTATTTCGAAGAACTTTTCATGTAGTTTTTTTATATGTAAATTTTATTTTTTATTTCTTTACTAAAATGTAAATAAAATGAATTGAAAAAACTTGATATTTTGTCTCGGGAATACAAATGTGGCAAATAATTTGGGACGAATGGAGTATTAATGTTGTGAGTGCCGTGAGTTTTGAAAAAATAGATATGCTAAATTAGAAATAGACATCAGTTACTTCAAGCTTTGATGAAAATCACTTCTATTGTACTCCGTACAATTTACACTTCTTAAAAACAATCCATAATCTAAAACTAATTGGAAAATATTTAAAATTATGTTACAATGAAGCCAAACCTCAAAAGCTAGTTCCAAACACACTCCCAAACAGCACCTTAAGATTGAAAATCACTTTTATACTACAATTGAAACTTTTGCAATCGCAATCCATAATCTAAAACTAAGTGTAAAATACTTAAAATGATGTTACAATGAAGCCAAAACTCAAAAGCTAGTTTCGAACACACTCCCAAAAAGCACCTTAAGATTTAACTTTTTTTATTATATATTTTCTCATCAAAACATTATATTTATTTTATGTTTTTATTTTTTAAATAATACAAATTGTGCCCTTGTTACAAAACATTTGCTTATTTTGGGTATATGAAGATATATACTATGGATCGTAGGTTCGTGGTAGAATTTACAGAGTTTGTCCTTAGCTCTGAATTGGGCGCCAATGACCTGTATTTTCTTTTAAATAGAAAAGTTAAATTTAAAATGAAGTGTATTTAATTTGATTCAATCTCAATATAACCATCAATTACTAGACTAGACTATTTAATTTGTCACTATCACATAGAATGTTCCATTGATGAATTTAGATGCTTGTGAAAAGCAATGTGAATATTGAAGAAAATGAACTAAATACTCCACTCATACATAGAATGTTCTTTTGATGATTCTAGATGCTTTGTGAAAAGCAATGTAAATACTCAAAAAGATAAAATAAGTTCTATTCTCTTGTTCTCATGATTTTTTTTCTATTTACTACTATAGTGTATTGATAACTTTGTATGCATGTTTTTATTGATAATTTGATAAAATAAAATATTTCTATCACTTCTTGTTTTTTAAAACTTTGGATGTACTTATAAACGGTCTAAATTATCTTTTTATTTTATACTAATTTGTAAATAAAATCATTTTAGATGATGTGAAATTTGTATTTTCTATTTTATAGCAATTTGTAATTAAATAAAATCATTTTAAAAGAGGTAAAATTTATATTTTCTATTTTATACCAATTGAAATTTTACACGTTTTTCAAAACAAAGAAAAGATATACTTCCTCTGTCTCATAATGAATGTCACACTCTGATTAACATACAAAATATTACTCCCTCCGTCCCCCAGTTTTTGTCCACTTTTGACTTTTGGAACTATTCATCTAAGCACTTTGACTCATCAAATTCTCTCAATGTGTAAGCCTAAATATAGTCATGTGTGATCTTGTTTGATTTGTCTTAACATATAGATTATTAATATATAATTTCTATAATTTTTTAATATACAAATTACAAGATAAAATGGATTAAAGAAATGCATTGGATGGTGTGTAAAAATGAAAGTGGACAAAAACTGTGGGACGGAGGGAGTATTATTTTTAAAAGTATAAATTTCAAATTTAAAAGCACATAAAAATTTCTATAAAACAAGAGATAACAAGAAATTTATTTTATCAAAATTCTCAATAAAAAGTATACAAACATTTATTATTATAAATTTGTATAAAAATAAAAAGAAGATATCACATATTTAAAAGCACATAAAAATTTCTATAAAACCAGATATAACAAGAAATTTATTTTATCAAAATTTTCAATAAAAATATACAAACATTTATTTTTGGACCGAGGAAGTGAGTCGGAGAGAGTAGTTACACCAGAGTCAAATAAAGAAAAAAACGTTGGTACCTTGTTAATCTACGCACGCAATGATCGTTTTTTTTATAGAATTGTGCAATGATCGTTAATTTTTGTGCTTTATTGACTTTACAATTAAAAAACTAATCGTGAATATACTCCCTTCATCTAATAATAATGTTTCCAAACACTACACAAGATCAAGTTTTATTTATTTTGTTGGTTAGTCATATCACATCTAATTTTGTAGATCTTTTCATGTAGTTTTAAAATATGTAATTTTTGTGTTTTTATTTCATGCAATTTTTCATATAAAATAATTTGAAATAATTTCAATCAAATATCATAATGCGTTACGAAAATATTATTTTTGGATTGAGGAAATATATAAGAAAGCATTTTCTTAATCAGGCATTCACGTTTATGGATGAAAGTCATGAAACCATGCCAAATTTGCGTAACAGTTCTAAATTCGGAAAAATGTAAAAGAAAAACTGACCAAGAAATATTACGGAGTAATTAATCATCTCTTCCAGAATCTTCATTTGAAAAAAATGCATTTAATTATAATATGAAATTTTACGTGGCATCTATTTATTTATCTTGAAATATAGTTTTAAATAATAAAAATTTCATAATATTGCACTTGTAATTAATTACGGAGCATAATAAGAAGCTCATTCCCCAAAGCAATGAAGAAGTTTGAGTAGCTTCTTTTAGGGTGTATTTAGTTGGGGAAATATTTTCACAGAAAAATAATTTCTAAGTGGAAATGATTTTCAAAGAAAATTATTTTTCAATCATTTTTGTAGGAAGAAACATATTTTCTTAGAAATATTTTCTATTATTAATATTTGAAAATTAATTTTAAAAAAAGATGATTTGTGGCAATTTAATGCTCTCCCTGTCTCAAAAAAAAGACTCATTATTTCCTTTTTAGGACATGCCAAAAATATCCCCTTTTTCCTTTTTTTGGAAAACTTTGAGTGATTCACAATCTTTCTCTCTTATGCATCACTTCTAACCACACATTTTCACTTTCTTTAAATTTTATACCAAGTTAAACTGAGGGCCTATTTTAGAATAGAGAGTAATACTTTAGTAACATAGAGGGCGACGAAGGGTAGATGGAGGGCAAGCAAGGGGCGGTTGGACGAGGTTCAGGGGCGGTGGCGAGTGACAAGGGATGATGGGCGGGATCCAGGACTAGGGTA